CTTCAAGGCTCAGGGGTCCAGGATTATCTTCTGTGTCTGTGTTAATTGGTTTCCCTTTTCTTTGTTGAAGAGGGTCTGTGCAGTCTTTCTGCCTAGTCCGCCATCTTGCTGGACCTCAGTATATTGGTTTTAAGTGAAGCAAAGAAATCCTTCAGACTTCTGTAGGACTGTATCATGATTACCTTTTAATTTTTACTATGTTTTTATTTCCCGTTGCATGTCTTTTGAGAAAAACCAAAACCAAGCAAATCAGTCACTATTGAGTTGATTCCGACTCATGGTGACCCATGTGTTTCAGAGTGGAACTGCACATAGTTTTCAATGGCTTTGACCTTTTGGTAGTAGGTTGCGAGGGATTTGTGAGTGGATTTGAACTGCCAACCTTTCAGTTAGTAGCAGAGTGCTTAACCATTTTCGCTACCCAGGGACTCTAATCTACTGAGAAATCAACCAATAACTTCTGACAGTTTTATTGAGATAGAATTAACATGCATTAAATTGCACATATTTAAAGTGTACAGTTTGCTTTGATTTGACCATCACTATAATCAAAACTATGAATAGGGAAGATTGAAGAAGAGTTGATGCTTTTGAGTTGTAGTGTTGCTGTAGTGTTGGTGAAGAATACTGAAAATACCGTGGACTGCCAGAAGAATGAACAAATCTGTCCTGGAAGTGGAGCTAGAATACTCCTTGGAGGCAAAAATGGCCAGACTTGGTCTCACCTACTTTGGTTATATTGTCAGAAGGGACCATTCCCTCGAGAAGGATACCATATTTGTTAAAGTAGATGGTCAGAGAAAAAGGAGAAGGCCCTCAACGAGATGGATTGACAGTGGCTGCAACAGTGGGCTCATACGTAGCAGGGATTGAGAAGATGATGATGCAAGACTGGGCAGTGTTTCAATCTGTTGGACACAGGGTCACTAGGAATTGGAGCTAACTCAATGGTATCTGACAACATAATCAAGATAATGAGCATGTCCATCACCCCTAAAAGTTCTCTGGGGTTCCTTTGAAATTTATCCTTCCTACCCTTCTTCCACCATTTTGTACCTAGGCAATCACTGACACTATTTATATAAAATTTTAGAAAATGCAAACTAATGCATCTTGACAGAGAGCACATCCATTTGTTTTCATTGCTGATGTTATGAAGCAGAAAAATGGTCAAGGCTGCCAAAGTACCTCAGTATTTTGTGTGTTGGCTTTTCCTGAGTTAAGTGGTGGCACATGGTAGGTACTCAAGAAGTTGCAGCATACATCAGCTGTCAGCTTTATTTATTGAAATTGCCAGAAAGCATAGGGAGCCTTTTGGTAGTCTACAAAGAGAACACTAAATGGCTAGGTGTTCTCTGTGCTGGCATCTTCTCGCTTCCTAAGGCCTGCTACCAGCCAGTGTTCTGACTTCTCTCTCTTTGGGCTTTTTCAGTATAATTGCTTTCTTCTAAAATTGGAGTTTTGATATTTCTCCTTGAAGCGTCTGGGAGTATGTCTGAGATGAACCTTTCGGCATACATAGAAATGTTACTAGTTAGTATTTAAGGTATTAATAAAGTCTAGAGGAGATTTTTTTTTTTTTTTTTGGTGGGAGTCAGGGTCCTGATAAACGTCTTTTGCCTCCTGGTCTTAACCGTAAGGGGTTTGCCCCTTTGCTTACTTGCTCGTTCTCTGGTTTCCAGACCTCATTCTCCATAACTCTTTGTAGGAGGCTATAAAGGTAAAACAGTGAGTTGAGTTGAAATTATTTAATCTTAGATTGAATTCTCTAAATGATAGTGTTTTGGGATGGTATTTATTTTATGTTATTTGATGTTGTTGCATGTTACCCTGAGTAATTGAAATCTACTATAGTAAAGTAAAAGGTTCTCTGTTGAGAAAATGGGAGCTCTGGTAGCATAGTGCCTAAGGCACTTGACTACTAACCAGAAGGGCAGTGGTTCAAACCCACCAGCTGCTCCTCGGAAGGCAGGTAGACAATCTACTTCCGTAGTGATAGCGCCGTGGAAACCCAAGGAGGGGTCCCTATGAGTCGGATCCAATTTGAGGGCAGTGAGAGATTGAGAAAATAGTATCATTTGGAAACATTTAAACACAAAACTAATCTAATCTCAGTGATTCTTTTTGGGGAATGTCCAGATACTTTGTGAAAGCATCTTTAAAATTAATGATCACTAAAGAGTCCTTTCAGGGAGTGGGTGCATCACTCACCCTTGAGTTTCGTACTGTAATTTAGAATGTCCAGTTATAAAAATGTTCTTTAGTTACTCCTTGTTCCTGTTCTTCTAGTCATTGATGTACTTAAGGAATGAAGAGAAAAAAGTCCAAGCTATGTATTCTTGTCCAATGTTAGTAGAGCTGAGTTAGTGATTTTCCATTGAGGTGTGTCTGTAGTTTCAAGCACATCAGCTTCAAGTAGAAGAAAACACGGAGGGAGACATAAAAACATTTTGATATACTTTTCCTTTTAAATAGATGAAGAACTTCCTGATTACATTATGGTGATGGTGGCCAACAAGAAAAGTCAGGACCAAATGACAGAGGACCTGTCCCTGTTTCTAGGAAACAACACAATTCGATTCACCGTATGGTATGTTTCTGAATATCTGTGCCTCAGACCAAAATTTGGGACAAGTCAGAGTAGGTGTTCTGTCTGCAGAGTTACTTGATAGGTGAGTGAGGTTCAGTGCTCACAGACAGGTTGTGAGTGAGGAGAGTGCAGCCACACGGCCAGAATTTAATCCTGGCTCTGCTGCTTGCCTCAGTTTCTTCTCCTGTCAAATGGGGACAGTAAATCATCTCCTCAGGATGTTGTGGGGATTAAATGAACTAATGCATGTAGAGGCTTCCAGCTGGGCCTGTCACATAGTCCTTAGTCATGTGAGCTGGAGTTTCTTTTGTAAACTTTTCCCTCCACCACAACTAGTTATGTATGTTGTTTGAACTGGCCTGGCTTCCTGTATTACTTTCTCCAGCAAGTTAAATTTTTTTTGTTTGTTTTAGCTTTTTTGTATTTTTTTCTCCTTTCTTTTGACGAACAAAAATCTAAATCATCTTTAAAGATTGGAATTTTGTAATAGGCAGCTTTATTTTTGAGTATAAGTATTTGTTTTTGGTGTCCTTTTTTAAAGCACACATATCTTAGTTCAGAATTTCTGATTAAACTTTAGTTTAAGCTGCCCTGGTGCCTCTGGTGGTGTAGTACTAAGGCATTTGACTGCTAACCAGAAGGTTGGCGGTTCAAACCCACCAGCCACTCCATGGAAGGAAGACCAGGCAGTCTACTTCTGTAAAGATTTACTGCCTCAGAAACCTAGTGGGGATCGCTGTGAGTCTGAATCAACTCAGTGGCAGTTGGTTTGGCTTTTTGGTGTGGTCTTGGTGGCTAGGCTGAGGTACAGCGACAGGTAGGGTAGTGACAGAGTGGCCGAGGGTAGAGCAGGAAGTCCTCATGGAATCCTAAGACTAGGAGCAAATTACAGCAGTAGCTGATAGGGGAGGAAAGCTGAACAAGCAAAAGTGGCTTCAGTTTTGAATTTCAGGAGACTGAGGGACAGAATACCAGAATGAAACCACTGTTGTTGTCTTGGTTCCGCCTCAGTAAGAGGTAGGTACTAAAGTATTAGATGAAGCTGCTTAACTTTTGTCTTGACACCAAAGTTTATCTTCAAGGTGTTTTTGCCCCAGCAGGCCAGTGTGCTTTACAGCTCTCATGAAGTCTTGCAAAGAATCCCACAGAATTTTCTGGGTTTATATTATACACATCCTGAAGAGTATCATTAGAGCAGTGCAGAGGTTTGGATGGGCACACTGCTTCAGCATGGGTGACCCTAATCCATTTGTTGCGGTTTGTCCGCAGACTGTTTTTGTCTTCAGTCTTCAGCAGTACTGACATCATACATAGTTTTTTTTTTTTTTGGTGACCGGATTTTGGTTCAGCCTTTGAATTACTGGGTTTAATTTGAGTCCCACTAGTCTGAGATTTGACATAGTAGATCCTTTCTCAGACAGTTTGATGAAATACTTCAGACAGATTTCTTACATAAACAGGTTGATATTGGAATCTGAATTTAAAATTAGATTAATTCAACACTTTCATCTTTGAGATTCAGTTCTTAGAAATAAACCGACGCGAGTGATGGTGTCTCCATTTTGGCACTCTCTTTTCCTAAGTTAAGCGTTCATAATGCCAGGCCCAAACAGACTGTCCTGATGCTTGGGAGCCCTACAGTAATTGTGTTCTCGGGGACAGTGGCATGTGACTGGTGTCTGGATGAAACAGTATGAAAATTACATCTTGGTATTTTCAGGAAACACGACCTCTTGGAAGGACTGTAAGCCAAATTTGCTTTCTACATAACTATTATAATGGCTTGTGTTATAGGAAAGGTTGTGACCTATGCTTGTTTATAGCTTTAGTTTTGAAATAGTCACAGTGAAGTAGTATAGCGTATTTCGAGAGTATTTATAAGTTTTTTCATCTCTCAGAAGTAAGTTATCCAAGAAACCATGTAAGTAGTTAAAAATAAATTTTAACTGCTTAAGCAATTGTAATGTACATAACATGCTCACAATACTTTATCTTGTTTTAGTGTAAGATACGTTGAGGCTTTAGTCCTTAAGAAACAAAGTTACATTCTTTATGGGCTAGACAATGTCACAGATGATATCCTTAGCCTTACCTTTGCAGAAGCTAGATGTTGAAAATAGTGAAGGAAGAAATTAATTGATTTTTCATTGGTTTTTGCAGTTTTCATGCAGAACTTTTTTAATTAATGTGCAATTTGGAAATTAGTTTAATGTTATATCCATTAAATACCATTTATCAGTATTTATCCAAATACTGATTTTTAAAATAGCATTAAATTTAGAGTGGCAGTTGAAACGAAATGCTTCTTGACTAAGGGAGGCTTTAATATTTTGATTTTTCTTTCAGGCTTCATGGTGTTTTAGATAAACTACGTTCTGTTACAACTGGTAAGATTTGTAAAAATATATATTTTTTTCTTTTACAACATGATTTCTTCTGTTTCTAAAGTCAGCATTTATATTGCTTTGAAAAAAGAAAACAGTAGTTTATTTGAACATTTTTAGGAAGCATGTAGTTTCCTCAATTTAAGAGCAATAAATTTAGTAGAACTCAAGGATAATTTAAGGGGCATTTATGCAGTTCACCGTATGGAAATAATTCTAGAGGTAGGCAGAGGTTTAGCCTCAGGGATATTTCAGGATTTTATCATTGGAAATTATTAAAAGTCTAATAATAAATTGAATAAGCCTACCATATTATATGTGAGGTGATACTTAGTCATTAAGGATAACATGATAACAGAATAATATGCATTATAACAATAATACACATTCGCAAGATGGGGATCTCTTATGTAAACATTTCCAAAAAAAATCACCATTGGGATAATTGGTAGGTTTTAGTTCTTTGTGCTATTTTGGTATTTTTCAAATTTTTTTGCAAGGCGGTATCACTAGGGAAGTAGATTGCCCCAATCTTCCTTCCAAGGAGTGGCTGATGGGTTTGAACTGCCACCCTTCTGGTTAGCAGTCAGATGCCTTAGGCACAGTGCCACGAGAGCTCTTCACAAGAAACATGTATTGATTTTAAATTGATGATGAGGGAGGGGAGGGCTTGAATGCATAAAAATAGATGAAAAAGATCATGTACTTTTCCTTGCCAGAACCGTCTAGCCTAAAGTCATCTGATACCAACATCTTTGACAGTAACGTGCCTTTAAACAAGGGTGGCTTCAGTCGAGGAGAGGAGAGAAGGCACGAGGCCACAGTGCCGCCCCTCTCAGTGTCTAGCACCAGATCTGAAAAGAGAGACCCTAGAGTGTCTGCAGGTTCACAGGAGCAGAAAACCACTAATGTCAGGTAGGTCCTGCCCAGATCTGCTCAGGGTAGTAGGGGGTGTGCATGTGATTTTTAACATTAGGTTTTATATCTCAAAATTGGTGTTTTGAGCAATTTTTGGAAACAATGGCGTAGTCATGAGAAATTTTTTGAATAAAATAACTAATGGATTAAAAGGATCATCTTTCATTTCAAATGTTGTAGATTAGAGTTTTTAAAAATTCAGTTTCTTTCTTTCTTTTTTTTTAATGCATTTTATGTAAAGATAATTTATGTACAGTGAAACACACAGAATTAAAGTTACATGGGTCAGTGCATGTTTTTTGTTTTTGGCAGTATTCCCTCCCCTCCCACCCCTGGCAACCAGCAAAGAAAGTTTCCCTCCATAAATAAACCTTTGCTTGACCCTCCGCAACAATGAACTAATACTATTATTTGTCCTTCTGTGATTGACTTATTTCACTCAGGGTAATGTCCTCCAAATTCATCCATATTATGCGGTGTTTTGCAGACTCTACATTATTTTTTAGTGCTGCATAGCATTCCATTATGTGTATGTACCATAGTTTGGCCATCCACTCTTCTGCCGATGGGCACGTAGGTTGTTTCCATCTTTTTGCTGTTGTAAATAGTGGTGCGATGAACATGAGTGTGCATATATTTGTTCCTGTCCTAGCTCTCACCTCTCTAAGATACATATCTAGTAATGGGATTGCTGGATCAAATCGTATCTCCAATTCCAGCTTTCTAAGGAATTGCCCTATTGCTTTCCACGATGGTTGTGGCATTTCACAGTCCCACCAGCAGTGTATGAGAGTCCCAATCTCTCCACATCCCCACCAGCATTTGTTATTTTCTGTCTCTTTGAACCTTGCCATTAGTGCTGGGGTGGGACAGTATCTCCTTGTTGCTTTGATTTGCATCTCTCTGATGGCCAGTGATTGGGAGCATCTTCTCATGTATTAGCTGGCCACCTGCATATCCTCCTTGGTGAAGTATCTATTCATGTCTTGTGCCCATTTTTCCATTGGATTGTTAATTCCTTTGGAGTTGAGGCATTGGAATTTTCTATAAATCTTAGAGATAAGTCCCTTGCCAGATATGTTATTATTGGCAAGTATGAATTTGTTGCTGTCATTTTTGTTATGTGCTTTCTCATGGTGTCAATTTCCTTGTGCCATATAATTTTCTATGCTGAGCTTGTTTTTGTTTATGAATCGTGTTATCATGTCCTTCGTTGCTGTTTTAATTTAGTATTTGCTAAATATTTTTGCTGGTCATCTTTTTTATTTTGATGTGAAAGTTTATCGCTTAAAAATTCAATTTCAAAGTCGTTTTTAATATATTATACAAGGGAGTACCCAGACTTTTCCATTGAAATTTTCTTACGTGACATTCTTTGAAAATACGAAGATAGTACTCTAAATCAGTTTTACCAAGTTTGCTGCTGTTGTTTTTAACAGACAGACTTATGATGATGGAGCTGCAACCCGACTAATGTCAACAGTGAAACCTCTGAGGGAGCCGGCACCCTCTGAAGATGTGATTGATATCAAGCCTGAACCAGATGACCTCATTGATGAAGATCTCAACTTTGTGCAGGAGAATCCCTTATCTCAGAAAAAACCCGCTGCGACGCTCACCTATGGGTCTCCTCGCCCTTCTATCGAAATTTATCGGCCACCACCAAGTCGAAATGCAGATAGTGGTGTCCATTTAAACAAGCTGCAGTTTCAGCAGCAGCAGAACAGTGTTCACGCCGCCAAGCAGGTAGAAGTGCAGAGCAGCCGGGTCTGTGATGCAGGACGTCTGGGTGAGCCAGAGGCGCTTACCAGTGTAGAGAAGACTTACAGTCCCTTCTTCAGAAACAGCGCAGAGAAAATGAGTATTGAGGTTTGTGTACGCTTTCCAGTCTTTGCTTGGTCGGCTGAACATGGGTGGCTCTTGCTGCTATGCTAGGTAACATACTCTTTAGGCTGATTTTCCTCTCCAGGATTGGTTTCACATCTTGTATGAGAGCAAGTTTCTAACCTCAGGTCACCTGGGAGAGGTGTCTGTGTTGAAATTACATTATTTATGTTTTTAAATATTCTGTAATGTGATTATGTTTCATCATCATATTTCACACCTTAACACTATACCTTTTGGGAGGCTATAGGTTACTTTTAGGGTTTTTTTTTACAACATTTCTTCAAAAGGAACCAAGTCACTCCATTTTCTTGTTTCCTTACCAGTGCTGTATGCAGCTGTCCATAAAATAAGTATAACGCTGTAGTTTTGATGTTTGTTTCAGCTAAATATTGGCTATTAACGATAACATGTTTTTATTGAAAAACCAAGCAATGTTCCATGAATTCTTCAAATGACCTTTTTTTTTTTCTTAAAAAGGAAAAACATTCCATGATAAAACCTTGTTTTCTGAGGCTAGATAAATATTTTTTAATTTTCTGATTGCAGGAAGAAAACTTTCGGAAGAGAAAGTTGCCTGTGGTAAGTTCAGTTATTAAAGTAAAAAAATTCAATCATGATGGAGAAGAAGAGGAGGAGGATGAAGATTACGGTTCCCGAGCAGGAAGTGTCTCCAGCAGCGTGTCAGTGCCAGCAAAGCCTGAACGGAGGTACCTGAACACGTCTGTGCGTTAGCACTCCACTGTCCGTGAGTTAGTTGTTAGCTGCCTGATGGAGTTTTCTGGGTCCCTTGAAGAGGATGTCATGAGACTAAATCATAATTTAACTGAATAAGATAAAAGACTGCTGGTGTTCAAAAAGCATTTATGTTAAAGTTGGAGATACTTGCAAAGAATATTTAAAATAGTGATATGGGAAAAAACCGTTGATCCAGATTGATTTAAAAACCAAACCAAATTAAGTGGCTCAGGACCATAGTCTTAGGGACACTAAGGTCAGTTGGCATCACATGGCCCACAAAGACAGTGTGTTCGATATGCTGTTTTGGTGAGTAGTGACTGGAATCTTAAAACGCTTATGAGCAGCCATCTAATGTGCAACTATTGGTGTCTCCCTGTTGGGAGCAAAGAAGAGTGAAGAAAATCAGATGCATGGAAACGGTCCAGAGGAGTAATGGACCGTGCTAACCTCAACCCCCATGAACCTGAATCCAGAAGAACTAGGTGGTACCCAGCTTACCTATGTAAACTACTCTGAAAGGGATCACAATAGGAGGTCATGAATAGAGTGGGAGAAAATTGTAGAACAAAACTTAAAATCATAAAAAGGGAAAATGAATTTGCTCTGTAAACTTTCACCCAAATGACAATAAAAATTAAAAAAAAAAAAAAGAAAAGAAAGACCAGGCTTACTGATTGAGGGAACCCGAGACTATAGCCTTTAGACGCCCTTCGAGCCAGGACCTGAAGTCAGTCCTGCGGCTCAAAATTCAGTCAGATGGTAGCCCTAATAAAGTGAATGCTAACCCAGGGAGATACACATTACCTGTAACAACCAACCACAAAGATCAAAAGGTCAGCATTTGCCCAGGGATAAAGCTCAGAAGGCAGGAAGGGACAGGAAAGAAGGAAGAATGGAAAATGATAAACAGAATGTAGAAGGAGAATAACAAATGGTGTCACAAATCAAAATGCATATAAATCGTTGCATGGAAGACCAATTTGTAAACTTTCACCCAAATCACAATAAAAAGTTAAAAAAAAAAAAATTACACGGTTCCAGTCTAGTTGGCATTTTCTAGAAACTACAGATAGTCTGTTCAAAACCTAAGAGAACTTTGTAGAAAAAGCATATTGGATGGCTGTCATAAGAGAACTAAACTTGAAATTTAATAGGAGTACCTTTCTTAACTCTTCTAGACCTTCACTTCCACCTTCTAAACAAGCTAACAAGAATCTCATTTTGAAGGCTATATCTGAAGCTCAAGAATCTGTAACAAAAACAACAAACTATTCTACAGGTAATTTAAATATATTATGTTTACGTTGACTAAATAAATAAAAGATTTCTAACCCTCTTGAATAAACTGAAAATGATTGTTCTCTCAGTTGTGGTAAATAAAGTCTCCTGCCAGGATTGAAGTGAGGTTCAGGGAAAAGTAGTTTTTAAAGGAGATTTGAGCAATTTAAGATACTTTAACTGTCACTAGAATTTACTTCTTTGACCACCATGTAATCCATTTTACTCCCTCTTTCCAATGTCTATGAAATACATAATAAAAAATTTTAAAGGAAATTTTGACATGGATAGGACTTCCAATATCAATAGTGTTAGACTTAATGTTAGATACAAATTTAAAAAGTGTGAAAGGGAGCAACGTTGGGTAATAATAAGTGCCCAAAGTTAGGGAAATATGTTTGTTTAAGGTAAGTGTTAGATAAACAGATTGGTTTCTTTCCTTTCAGTGGAACCCACTAATGAAATGTAAGAACTGACTGAGGGCCTAGTGGAAGTACTCTGTCATTTTATGAGAGAATGTAGTGGCTTTGTTGTTGATAGGTGTTATGAAGTCAGTTCTGACTCGTATAGCGACTGTATGCACAACAGTAGGAAACTGCCTGGTCCTGTGCCATCCTCAATCGTTGGGTTTCAGTGCATTGTTGGAGCCATCGTCAGGCCATCTCATTGAGGGTTTTCCTCTTTTTCGCTGACTCTCTACATTACCAAGTATGGTGTCCTCCAAGAACTGGTGTCTCCCACATGTCCAAGGTACTCTCAACCATCCACATCTGAGGAGCGTTGTGGCACTACTTCTTCCAAGGTAGATTTGTTCATTTGTCTGGCACTCCACGGTATATGTAGTATTCTTTGCCAGCATCATAATTCAAAAGACATCAGTTCTTCAGTCTTTCTTAATCATTATCTAGCTTTCACATGCGTACAAGGCTATTGAAATGACCATGAGTTGGGCGAGGTGCAGCTTAGTCCTCAGAGTGACATCTCTGCCTTTGAACAACCCTTTAAAGAAGTCTTTGTGCAGATTTGCTCAGTGCAGTAGGTCATGCTGCTTCCGTGGGCATAGATGATGGATCCAAGTAAAACTTCAGTCTTTTCTCCATCTATCATGATGTTGCTTATTTTTCTAGTTGTGAGGATTTTTGTTTTCTTTATGTTGGGTTGTAATCTGTACTGAAGGCTGCAGTCTCTGATCTTCGTCAGTAAGAGCTTCATGTTTTCTTCACTTTCAACAACCAAGGTTGTGTCATCTGCTTATCACACTTAATAAATCTTCCTCCAATCTTCATGCCACATTCTTCTTCATATGTTCAAGCTCAGATTATTTAAGTATGGTGAAAGAGTATGACCCTGACCCCTTCCTGATTTTAAACCACACACTATCTCCTTGTGTTTGAACAGCTACCTCTTGGTCTAGGTACAGGTTCCGTGTGAGACAAGTGTTTTAGAATTGCCATTCTTGGCAGTGTTATCCATAATTGTTATAATCCATATAGTCGAGTGCCTTTGCATAGTCAGTAAAATCCAGGTAAACAATATTGTGATACTTCCTTTCAGCCAGGATCCATCTAATGACAGCAGTGATGACCCTCGTTGCACCTCCTCTTCTGAATCCAACTTGGATTTATGGCAATTCCCTGCTGATGTACTCCTGCAACTGCAAATTTTTACTTGGTGTGGGTTTAATGATACTCTATAATTTCCACATTCTGTTGGGTCACTTTTCTCTGGAATGGGCACAGATATGGATCTCTTTTAGTCAGTTGGCCAGGTAGCTGCCTTCCAAATTTCTTTGCATAAACGACTGAGTGCTTCCAGTGTTGCATCCGTTTGTTGAATCATCTCACTGGAGCCTTGTTTTCACCAGTTCCTTCAGTGCACCTTGGACTTTTTCCTTTACTGCCACTGGTACTTGATGATATGCTCCTGAAATAGTTGAACTTTGATTCTTTTTGGTACAGTGACACTTTGTATTCTTTCTGTCTTCTTTTAATGCTTCCTGCATCATTCAGTATTCTGCCCGTGGAATCACTTGATCAAGCTTGAATTTTTTTCTTCAGTTCTTTCAGCTTGAGAAATGGCAAGCGTGTTCTTTGATTTTCCAACTCCAGGTCTTTGCACATTTCATTATAGAACTTTATTTTGTTCTTGAGTTGCCTTTTGAAATCTTCTGTTCAGCTTTTTTATTTCATTATTTCTTCCATTCATTTTAGCTAGTCTCCATTCAAGAGCAAGTCTCAGAGACTCTTGTGACATCCTTTTGGTCTTTTATCTTTCCAGTCTTTGTAATGACCTTTTGCTTTCTTCGTAATGTCCTTGGTATCATTTCATAAGTCATTTGGTCCTCGGGCATTGGTCTTCAATGCATGAAATCTATTCTTCAGATGGTCTCAAATTTCAGGTGGGATATACTCAAGGTTGTGCTTTGGCTCTTGGGGACTTATTTTAACTTTCTTCAGCTTCATCTCAAATTTGCACGTGTTCTGACTTGATATTGTTGAGCTTCTCTGTTTTCTCTTTCCACTGATGGTTGTCAGTATGACTCCTGTGTATTCCATCTGGTGAGGTCCACTTGTAATTACCACTGTTTATGTTAATTTAAAAAGGCATTTGCAGTGATTAAGTCTTGAGAATTCTGTCTTGCAATTGCCATCCTCATGTCTATCTAAACAGACCATATTTTCCAACTACCAGTGCTGCTGCTTTGTTTTCACCTTTTTCATTCCAATAACCAGTGATTATCAATGCACCTTGATTGCCCGTTTAATTTCAGACTGCAGAATTTGGTCAAAGCGTTCATTTCTTCATCTTTGGCATTGATGGGTGATGCATAAATTTTAATAATAATCATATTAAGTGGTCTTCTTTTAAGTGCATGGCTATTATTTTACTACTGACAGCATTGTACTTTTGAGTACCTTCCAATCTGAGGGGCTCATCTTCCAGCACTATATCAGACTCTGTTCCACTGCTCTTCATAAGATTTTCAGTGGCCAGTTTTTTTAGAAGCTAGAATTCTTTCTAGACTGCTTTAGTCTGGAAATACCGCTGAAGCCTGTTCACCATGTTTAACCTTACTAGTATTTGAAATACGAGTGGCATAGTTTCCAGCATCACAGAAACATACAAGCCACCATGGTATGAGAAACTGGAGGACAAGTGGTAGATAAAGACATTACATGTGTTTAAAACAAAGGATTTGAATCAGCTACAAGCTGATCTTAGAAAAAGTCATTCTGAAATGCAAACCAAATGTTGATTGCTATATGGTGTTGTCAGTAAATGGCTGCTGTGGCCATTATGTTAATCTTTCTGTTAACAAGCTGATGATGATCACCCTCATTATAATGCTTTGTTGTGTTTTATTTTTGCTGTGGACTGGATGGATGTTCTCCCAGCATTGCTGCACTTGTCCATTCTCTCATGCACATATTCTGATGATTCTAAAGTGACAGACCGTCAGCTTCCAATTTTTGATTTCAATAGTCATCTGTTCCCCTTGCTTCTCTTGATCTTAATTTAACCTTGAACATCAAATTAAATGGGTTTTGGCATATAGGATAAGGATTTTCCAACAAAGCCCAACACTTGATGTAGGGATTTATGCAATTTGCATTCATTTTTGTGGTCCATTAGCAATTAAGTTGTTTAGTATAATGTAAAATATACTCATGACAATCTTGAAATGTCCTGCTTTTATACTAGTTAGATATCTTCAAGTTTTTAAAGAAATAAAATGGAAATACTTTATTTTTAATCTAGAATATCTAAATGATAATTTAGAATTGATAAAAGATCATGAAGCCAGGCCTGTAGTGCGTTTGGTTAAAAATAAATACATATGTGCTATAATGTGTTTAACCCACCAGCCACTCCTCTTAAGAAAGGTTGGGCAATTTACTTCCGTAGTGATACTGCCTCGGAAACCCAAGGAGGGGTCACTATGAGTCAAGTCTGACTCCACGGCACATAACAACAACAACATAATGTGTACATCATGTGACTTAAAATGTATTAACGTTGTTTGCACATGTTTATGGGTAATAGGGCAGCCATCCCTCAGGAATCTTTTAAGAAGAAAAGGAGGCGGTGTTTGTGGCCTGTTTGAATTGTGCTATGCACCAAGGAGGCATTGCTGTTCAGTGTGACGTAGTCTCTTGATGAGCGTGGTTGTGTTACTGAATTTCCATTTTCACCTTCTTTCTCCTTATGTAAAAGTCCCTCAGAAACAGACACTCCCGGTGGCTCCTCGAACTCGAACTTCTCAAGAAGAATTGCTAGCAGAAGTGGTCCCAGGGCAAAGCCGGACTCCCAGAATAAGTTCCCCCATTAAAGAAGAGGAAACAAAAGAAGATAATATTGAGAAAAGTCAAGGTAATCATTTAGATGGTATTTTATTCTTCATTACACTTTCATGAAACATTACATGTTTTCCAGAGGGGTTTTTATGAGATGTTAATTATACTGTGAGAAAGTGATGATTAGGTTAAAAGTACAATGAGGAGGGACTGTGAGAAAATCTATACTTTTCGGAATATTTTTTTAACTCTTCTTTTGTTAGGGAAATGTTTAACAGTCTTTAGAAGTGGAAAGAATTATATAGAATGAATTCCCACGAACCTGATGACCCAGCCTCAGTAATTTATCAAAACTTTACTGGTCTTTACAGATCTACTACTTAAAGATACATAGATAATCTGTATTGTCCCTTCCCCTGTTTTGTTAATCCTACCCCTGTTCTTTGAAGCTTGAAATCCATGACCTGCTAGATTTCCCTGAGTGTCCTGGTGACCCTCTTTTATCCCCATCTGCCTGACATACTGCAGTTAGCTGCTAGCTGCTCTTCTGCTTCCCCTTTCTCTCATCTCTCTCCATTCCTACACAGATACTCCCGTCTGACTCCCACAGTGGAGCTGTCATCATCTTACTCCCTTGTGAGAGTGTTTATAGTGGGTGGCCTGTCATGCTTTTTGCCCAGGGCTAATGCCAGCAGCCTGGCCTTCAGGCAGCTCCATCATATGGTTCCTGGGCCTGCCCAGCCCTTTCTGCTGCTCTTCAGCCTGTTCTTCTGTTCCCATCAGGAAAGAGTCCAGTTTTTCTACAAAAGTCTTAATTTTTATACCCAGCCAAAAATCTGTGTGGTCATTATGGTGTTCCCACTTCATGTCCTTGTTTGCCCTTTTTCTAACCTACTAATAAAGTTTTTGTTTTTCCTTCTTAATTGTATCTTTAAATTGTTCCAGACTTCTCTATAAATTTGGTTGTTCCATGAAGCCTTACGGTTCTAGTCTGTATTTGTATCTTCATTCTCACATTTTGAAAAAAACCTTTTTGACCATATTGTGCAATTTGCCATGCCAGCATGATATGCCATTCTGGTAAATGATGGGCTGAGAACAAGAAGACCCCCCCAAATAGCCAGTAGGTACAACGGGAAAGTGTGAACGAGCCAATTTTAGAAGAACATCTGGACGGCGTTAGGAGGGAGCAGACTGCAGTCAGAGCTGAAGGGGCCACAGCAGTGTCTCTGTGCGTATTCCGACCTGATGAACCTGAGCTAGGGTCCCGTCAGGCGTGGAGAGCAGCTGCTTGGAGTGGGATCCAGTGTAGCCAGGAAGAGACAGTGGAGATGTAGAGAGAGAGTATCAGATAAAAGTGTGTGTGGACTGGGGGGATGCAGCTAGGAGGTCTCCGAGAGCAGGCTACCATATAATTTAAATTTTGGGGGGGTCAGTTACTTTTTGTGTGCATATGTGTGATTTGGGTGAAAGTTACTGAGCAAATTCATTTTTCATACAGGAGTTCACGCACATTTTGTTTCATGACATTGATTGCAATCCCCATAATGTAACAGCTTTCTTCCTGTTTTCTCCTTATAGTTACTTTTTCCCTATGTCCTTCTTTCCTATGCATTCTTAGCCCCTGAGCTATCTCCCTGTGCAAATGCTGCCCTCTGTTCTCCCATGGTTGATTGTTCTGAGGAGTATACCTACCTGGTGTAGTGTTCACCTTAATGCCTGTCTGTTTGGCCAGAAGCCACGGGGGAATGAGTCAGTTCCAGGCCTGAAAGGTGACTTAGGACCATAGTCTTGGGGGTCTCACCAGGCTCTATCAGACCAGTAAGCCTGGTCTTTTTTATGATTGTGAGTTTTCCACATTTTTCTCCTGCTCTATTCAGGATCTCCTGCATTGATCCCTTTCTGAGTAACTCACTCATCTCACTGCCATCGAGTCAGTTCTGACTCACAGCAAACCCCATTGGGTTTCCGAGCTGGTAAATCTTTACGAAAGTGGACTGCCCCATCTTCCTTTCGCAGAGTGGCTGGTAGATTTGAACCACCAACTTTCTGGTTAGCAGTTATATGCTTCGGGCCTTGTGTCACCAGAGTTCCTTTCTGAGTAAGCTACCAGATTTTTAACATCAGAATATCAATAGCTGGGGGTCCTCTTTGAAGTTGGAAAAGCTACCTGAACCAAACCTACTCCTAAAATAAACAAAAATAAATGTGTTGAAGGCAGGTCCTGTACAAAGTTAAGAAAAAAAGGAGTAAAGAACAGAATAAATACTGTCAGTATCGAGAAAGCTTGCTGGAAATGCAACTTGGAAAGGTAATGTGGTGTTTCAGAATAAGCTGGAAGACTTCAGGAAATGGTAAAAACATGGAAAACCAAGTCAGAATAACTTAGAAATGAAGTGACAGCTCAAGCACTGGAAATAGAAGAAAAATTCATGTAGAATTGAAGACTAAACTAGAAATAACTCATGTGCTATGACAGAGGGATTTGAGTGGTTGGGAGAGGCTTAAGAGCCCACAAAGGCAAAACAAACTTTTGGCTGACCTCTGAGATTGTAGATGAGGGAAAATAATTTTAGAAATTACTCCAGCTAATCAGTGAAAGCAAATGATAGAATTGGAGTTTGCTTTTGTTTTTAAACTCCCAGTGACTTCTGAATCCAGGCATTGAGCATAATGGCTACTGAAGTATTCTTTTAAAAGATTGAAAACTCGAGCTATTCTGGTCTCCCTATGAAACAAAAAGACACTGCCTTAGTCTTGCCCCAAAGGGTTTGAACCTGAGTGATCAGGCATCTGGCCCCAGCAGGTGGCTTGGAGGAAGTGCCGGGGGCAGGAGTGAGGTGAGCTGCACCATAGGTGGGCAGTAGGCATAATCTAGACTCCAGGACACTGAGTCAGTGGGATCCAGACTTTTGGACTCCAAGACTCAGAGGATATATTCAATGCAAGACAAGGTTAAGCTCTCGTGTCTGGGGATGCACACGTGTGGGATAAAACCATAAAGAAACCGGAATCATTACTCTAAAAGGCAAATAGGGTTCTTTTTAGAGAGAGCTGTCATTAGGATTTAACATGTGGAGAGCTTTCTGGGGTGACTGGCAAAGTTCCGTTTCTTGACCTAGGTGGTGGTAAAAGGGTGTTTGTCTCATAAAAATGCATTAAGCCCTATTTTTTGTGTGTGGTTCTCTATGTTACTGTTTTGTTTTAAAATTGTAATGGTACCAAGTAGGTCTGCTTATAAGGACCTTTGCACTCTACGTTCATTTGTTCACGTGCAAGAAATGACACTTCGCAGGCAACCATTACCTGTTACAAAGCTTGCTTGTCATCCTAAAGCTTTGTCTCTGACAGGAGTTTAGAATGTAAGTATGCACGTGTGTTGACATGAGTTGTCCCTTCTCTCCAGCGTGTATTTTTACTAGCCTACCACTCTCACAGGACCTCTAGTAGTGTAGTTCTAAGGCACTTGACTGCTAACCCATCAGTTCAAACCCACCAGCCACTCCTTGGAAGGAAGGTTGGACAGTCTAATTCTTTGGAAACCCAAGGAGGGGTTGCTATGAGTTGGTCCGACTCAATGGTGCACAACAACCACAACCACTCTACAATGCTTGTGCGTTTTCCTTTTCTGTCTTGGATCACTCTGTCACCAGAAGTTTGTTTTATTTTATCAGTTTTTTCTGAGACTTACCACACCGTTGGCAATGATTTTGGCTTTATTGATTCTTTGCTTCTTTGTTTTCTTTTTCATTCATTTCTGTTCTTTTTATTGTATCCTAAGGTGTTTTTTTATAACAATTAATTTACCTTAGCCTGTCTTTTCACATGTAATCATTTAAGCTGTAAATGTTTTTTGCATATCACTTCTGCAGCATGTCACAAATTTTAATATGTAGCATTTTCATTGTACTGCTAAGTATCTTACATCTTTCATTGTAATGCTGTTTTCATTTTTGACTCTTTAATTACTTGAAAGTTTTCTTACTTTACATTATATGGAGGTTTTGATTGTGGGTTTTAGTTTTTTATTATAGACTCCTGAATTCATTGCATTGTGGTCAGATAATGTGATCTGTGTAATACATAATCTTTGAAAATTACAAAGTCTTGCTTTGTACATAACCAATTTTGTATGTATTCTATGTGCATTTTGAAGGAAAGTGAATCTTCTTATTGGGTTGAGAATTTTGCATACATTCATTAGGTAAAGTTTGACGATCATGTTGTTTGGAACTTGACTTTGCAGAGTTTTTGGTCTGCTTGATTTATCAACAGTATTGAGAGAGGATGTTGAAAGTGTCCACCATGATGAGGGATTTAAATTAAATTTCTCTGTATGTCAACTAGTTTTTACTTTATTTATTTTGAGGTGATTGTTTTAGGTGCTACATGTTTTGAATGGCTTTCTTATGTTTTAAATGGGTATATCTGTGAATTGAACCGTTTATCTTTTTATCTGTGACCCTCTATGCCCAGTGCTGCTTTTAGTATAAAGTTAGCTTTGTCTGATGTTGATGAAGCTATTTAGTTAGTATTTGGCTCATGTATCTTTCTCCAAGCCTTTATTTTCAGTTGTTTTTGTCCTTGTGCTTTAGGGACAAGTTTCATAAAGCTGGGTTTTTGTTTTTTAATTCATTCTCAGAGTTGGCCTTTTACTGGGGAGTTCAGACCAGTCACACTTACTAAAATCCTTGATGTAGTTTTAATTTCTGTCATCTGATTTTCTAATGTACGTTTGCCGGCTTTTGTTTCTTTTTCCTTTTGACCTTTTTTAGATTAATCAGTTCTATTGTTATTGCTGTTGATCCCCTCGATTCAACGTGTTTTTGACTAGTTTGCAATTTTAAACACTCAATTTCTGTTCTTTTTAGTGGTTACTTTTGAAAATATTACCACGCAAATTTAATATGGTAAAGACTGCTATCCTGACCCTGTTCTCAAACAGTGACCAGACTTTAGAATTTCTCAGTTGCAGACTTCACCCTCCTGACTTATACTGTTTCCAACATTTTAATTTACTCTCTTTTTTAATTGCATAAGTAGGATATCATTGTTACTCTTTTACTCATGCAGTGT